TCTGAAGAAAAGGACTATTTTAGGCAAAATTAGGGGTTATATTTTGCAAAGTAACTACAAATAAGAAAAGTTTGCTGTAATATTTACTGCTTTAGAACCCTCCCCCGCTACAAAAAGAATCTCTATTTTTTTAAATTTATTTATTTAATTGGAGGCTAATTACTTTGCAATATTGTAGTGGTTTTTGCCATACATTAACATGAGTCAGCCATGGGTGTACATGTGTTCCCCATCCTGAACCCCCTCCCTCGTCCCTCCCCATCCCATCCCTCTGGGTCATCCCAGTGCACCGGCCCTGGGCACCCTGTCTCATGCATTGAACCTGGTGCGGCGAAGAATCTCTATTTTGGACCAGAATATAGCTCCCCGTGTGAAATTTTAATATCTGATATTACCTAACTTCACTTCTGGTGTTTTAAGTCATCAGAAGGAGCCTTGCCTTCTCTTACAGAAAAGCCTAATGGCTAGCTAATTCTGGAAATGAATTTCTTCCCTGCTGCTATTCTTAGCCACAGACAGTCATTTGAATGCTTTACACACACACACACACACACACACACACACAAAAGGCCTCAAGCCTCCTCTTGTTTCACCTTTTCATTGCTCAGCAATCATTTAGAGAGCAGACTTGTTCCAGACAGCTTTAATTAAACTGTACCAAGGAAGCAGATAGATGTCAATGGGAATGATCCATAACATGAGGCTAAGCATGTATTTAACACTGTTCCATCCAGTTCAATCACCTTCTAGCATTTCAGTGGCTTTATATTCATGTGGCAAAGAATGAATGTGTATATGTGTTTTTTTTTAATCCATCCCATTAGTGGCCATATGTTTGGGCTCCAATGGATATAAGAACTGTCTGCAATCTGCCAGGGATTTAGGGACATCAATAATTTGTGAATAGTCATGTTGGTACTGGTCGAAGGGTTAAGTGCTCTGCACACCAGGGGCACCTCTTAGGGGATTTGAACTCTCAGTTGACTGTTAGGAACCTTATCCCCTGTGAGGCTTCCTACTACATGCTGCTTGTCAGATGCATCCAGCTGTAGCTGGGAAGCATTATCAGCTCTGGGATTTAAAGATCTGTGTTAACTACTGATAGAATGGTATCCTTGAGTTAAAAAGCAGGGAGAGTATGTTGTGGCACTCAAGGAAGTTTGCAAGGTCCATGTGAAGCATATGTTCTCTTCTTTTGCATGATCTTTCATACATTCCTCATGGCTAGATAACACAGCATCCTTTTGAGAAGAGTTTATATTTAACATTTGCTCCCACAATTTTCTGGTGGATTAGACTGTATCAGTCAAAGTAGAAAGACAAATGTCTCTTTAAGAGAAATTTTGCCATTAAAAGCTTTTCTTCCCATTCCCCTAAAGAAGAAGAGGGACAGGTAACGTGAATGAATTTTGAAACACTGGTCTTCCCTGAAGATTTCTCAAATAAGGTTATTTTAACACTGCAAGAAACAGAGTATATAAAACCTTTTATGTTACATGTTAGCCCGTGACTTCATGTTCACCTAAAGCCTTGTCTGTCTTACTCACTGTTGTAGCCCCTGCACTTGGCACAGTGCCTGGCAGACAATACTGAACAAATGCTTGTGGGATGAAAGGATGGATGGGAGAAAGAGAGGGAGGGAAGGAAACACTTGGGGAAATTCTTTTGTAAGTCTGACCTGCATGCAAGTAGTTGCTCTCTAGAATTTTCTAGGAGCTATTTTGGATCTGGGAATGGATATTTGGCAATAAAACTTTCCATAGTTTTAATGGATAGGGATTTCAGAGCAAACTTACACTATTATGACCTCTTAGTAATACTAACACTTAGTTTTCTTATTGAGTAAAGATAGGAATAATTATGTTGTGATGACAGGTTTCCATCAGATTATTTTTGCTACCACATATCTAGATGTGGTTTTCTTTTAATATGACTGGATACTACCATAGGAAAGCAAACTGTGGTTTCTTAAAGGAGAGTAATGATGATGAAGCAGAGGGCTCTTTAGTCCTTCTCTCCTTAAATGTCTAATCTGACCTTTATAAATATAGTTTGTCTAGTTTACAGTTGAAATTCTATGTGTGTTTGTTTCCAGTAATTTCAGCGTTCTTACCTTGGAGTAGTTTTATCCATTCCTTAATTGTCCCTAGCTGATGTCTAGAAAGTCTTTTTAAACTTCTTAACTGCACAGTGAGGCCTCAGTGGACACCTAGATTGCGTCTGCTTGGGAAGATGCCAAGCACTAATGAGTATTTTGTTTAATGTAATGGAAACTGAACGCGCATGGCTTCTTCCTTGACTGATCAATGCCCACTTCTGTTGTTTGAAGGTATCTATACATTCTGAATTCTAGAAGAAAGGTCACAAGGGGGCAGACCACTTAGTGTCTGCCTAGGAAGGACTTGAGGATTCAGAAATTGTGCTTATATGGAGCTCAGTATACGTAGAAAGTACTAGAGTTAGTGCTTTAGCCTCTCCCACTCTGTTCAGATAAGCCAGCCTTTCTTTCAAACCCAAATTCCATAATCTTAAACTTTTCCATGTTAATTTAAACTATTTCATGTTAATTTATTCCCTAATTATTATTTTTTAAAAATTATGTTGTTAAATTTTAGGCCAAGCAATATATACTTCTATGTAATCATTTATTTCGGTATTATTTTATTATTATAAAGGAATTGGTATATATTATATTTAATTTATTGTTTGCTTTTTGCAAGTTTAAGTCACAATGTGTACAGCACAAATTTTAGTGTAAATAATTAAGACACTATTTCTTAGTTACATAAACAGATTTGCTGAAAAACCAAACCTTAAGCAATTCAGTAGGCCAACAAGATCAAGTATGTTTGAGTAAAAAATAATGATTCCCATGTGTTACTAATGTTCTACACAACTAAATGGAAAGTGTAGAGGGTGTTTCTGAGATTTCATTGAACCATATCTGGCTGAACAGATACAGAGCTCCCTTTGGTTGTACTTATAATTTACAGCCTACTTGAATGTGGTAGATAATTTTCAAAAGTAAAGATTTCAAGCCACTTAAAAACTCAAAAGAGATTTACCTCTCATCTAGAGCTTCCTGGGTTTAAAGATCTCGTAAAAGGTCCATGGAGATGGTAAGAAAAGATGCGTTTTAAATCTGAAGAATGGAAATAATTTAATTCTTCAACTTTGAGTATAATGACTCACTTTCTCTTTGTTTATTTCCAAACTATCATCTTGCTTCAATCATACTATTATATACCTTTAGAGACTCTGAAACAACACATCCCCAAGCCTCCCTGAATTAGAGTTTATAATAGAAACCTTGCCTGACCCTTAATAATTGTTGCTTTACTGAAATACTGTAATACTTAAACTAAGTTGCTTATTACACCAAACATGAAGTCCTTTGACCCTTAAGGTTCAATATTGATCAGCCCTACTTCTGTCAATACTTACCTCTAGTGTCAACAGTTTTCAATGTGGAATAAATTCAGGAATGGATAGTCTTTTTAATCCACAGAAATTTAAAACACTTAATTTCTATGCATTATAATTTTACCTAGTTAAATAATTACTTATTTCTTCCATACTCTGACTGGAGATTGGGCATCATTGTGAGTATATCATTAAATGTGATTACAATAAGTTAGCTATAAATGATTCTTACATTGGGTACAGGATTCATGTAAAAATTTTAACTGATAAAATGTTTCTCCAAAAGAAGACTTAAAGCAAGTGTATTGCAAATTCAACAAAAGTGGCTGAGCAATTTTTTAATCTTGAGATCATGAGGGGGAAATGCTTTTAAAAAGAATATTCAAGTGCTTGCTTTGCCCTTGGATAATGCAAGAGCAGTTTCACTTTTTTTAAGCTGTCGTACTTTTCAGATTGTCAAATGCATATCAAAGAGCTATTCTCTTGGCAAATTTTATGAATTTCAGTTCCGTTTTCTTGACAATTTAAAATTCAATTATTCCAATTATAACTAAAGGTCATTAGTCTAATGTGGCAACTTCATGACAGTTTAGTTACAAGAGAATTTCTCAGCTTAGAGAGGAAATTCTGCCATATGAGAAATTTTTATTGTACTAAAAAGTTGGATGATGGTAGAAAAGATTTTTGTTTTCTTCTCATGCTTTTATTATTTACTAATGAAAACATACACTTAATATTTCTTCCAATCACATAAATGGTGTTCTCATCACCATTTATAATATGTAATATCTCATGTCTTACTTCTATGATTAACATCACCAAATTAATAGCAAATGCCTTCTGATATTGCTGGATTTATCATTATATTTTGTCTTGAATTTCTTTTGAATTGCATTTCTTTTCGAATTTTAAATAACCTTAACCTGAACATCATTTTCAGATCTAGGGGAAGACATTTTCATTTCAATCATGTTACAGGTAGAATTTCTATTAAGATGAAAAAGGAGATGAGTTGGAGACCTGGTAAATATTTTAACATTGGCTCCACTTGGTGTGATAATGGAGAACTCCTCAGGGAAAACATACCACAGGAGAAGACACAGTGGGTGCTGAGTGTCAGGCCCACAAAGATACAAGAGTCTTTATCCTTGTCCTACCCGCAACGAAACTGACTTTGCAGTGGTAGATAAATGCTACTGCTGCTGCTGCTGCCAAGTCACATCAGTTGTGTCTAACTGTGTGTGACCCCACAGGCGGCAGCCCACCAGGCTCCCGTCCCTGGGATTCTCCAGGCAAGGACACTGGAGTGGGCTGCCATTTCCTTCTCCAGTGCATGAAAGTGAGAAGTGAAAGTGAAGTCGCTCAGTCGTGTCCGACTCTTCGCGACCCCATGGACTGCAGCCTACCAGGCTCCTCTGTCCACGGGATTTTCCAGGCAAGAGTACTGGGGTGGGGTGCCATTGCCTTCTCCGAGGTAAATGCTAGATAAATGTATTCAACAGCTATCAATTAATTGTGCATCTGCTCTGTGCAAGGTCAATAGTGAAAACTCACCATCTTCTGTTTTTGCATTTTAGTATTCCAGACCCCGTTAGAGGCAGAGATGAACAAGATGGCATCTGCACTGGTTCTGGTGCCCGTGACACATTTACCCCGAGGAGAAATGATCCATGTGGCGTGCTGGAGCAAGCTCTCCACACTAACTGTTCTCATCACCATTCTGAAACCTTGGCGTCACTGAGGCATAGCTGTCCTAAGGATTTTAATACTGCAATTCACAGGCCTTTTGTTAAACAATAAGACCCCAAATGACTTTCTACCTAGATGTAAACATGTGTTTCCCTTCAAGATTTCAAAAATGTTCCCTAGCAACACAAACTCTCTGAACTTTTAGCTTCCTGCTAGAGCTGTGTAAAGTCAGCTTCTTCTGAGTCACTGGTTGATTTTTTTCTGGTATCATGGTTTACCAATTACCTCATCATTATCATTTCTTGTCCACTGACCAAAAAGGCTGTAGTTGTACATGACAGTTGTATTTGGCATTCGATATGGTCTCCCTATCAACTCACTTTTGAGGCCCAGTATTTAGCAGAGAATGTTCTTTTCTATATAGCAGCTTATTAGTTTCATCCACTATTGTGCTATAAGCATGCATTTTACCTGCATTATTTCATTTCATCCTCACAGTGATCCTCTATGGTGCAGAGATAAAAATGACTAGGATGTGGTCACCACAAACTGAAGAACCAGGACTCGAACCAGGAAGATCTGACACCAGAGCTCTTACTCTTAACCACTTCATTGATACTGCTTCTGCAAGAATGGCCTTTCTACAATTAAAATTATATAATGTATTAAACAATTTATTAGAAGAGTAAATCCTAAGAACATGAAAACTAACTCTTGGTCAAAATGAAAGCTTTTTTTAATTGGTGTGCTGAAGAGACAGCTAGAGAGACATGTACCTTTACTTCTAATTTACAAGTAGGACACAGGAGCAGAAAATGTGGTGATAAAAGACTATTTCTGTATTTTTAGACACTCAGCACATTCTACCATCACCTAATTGTTTAGATATGTATTCTGCAGTGTCCTTTAGCTTCCCTACCATAGTCAAAAGGTACTGTATAGCTATTTGCATGTAAGTGGTGAGGTTTATTTTGAATAAAGAGTGAATGTAACTTCCATTTTTGCCTGTAATATATAAACATGAATCAGTAAAAAATTTTCCTGAATCTTCTCCAAGAAATGGCATGCATTTCCAATTAATCTCATAACTTTAACTATTTGGCCATGTTCCACGATTGATAGATGTTATTTTAGTTCAGATACAGAGAGAGAGAGAGAGAGAATACACCCGGGCCAGAGGATGGGGTATGTATTAACTTTTAAACATATTTTGCTCAACTAGTCAGTGTTTTTTTGGAAACCCAACATACTTTGGCTGATCTCTGTGACTATTATTGTCAGTTCTTAACAAATTGCAAAAATGACATGCCCTACAAAATCCATCAAATTGGTGACAAAACTTACACAGGGTCTAGGACATCAAGGCTATCCATTACCTTTCAACGGTGGGGGGGTCAATTGAAAATCACTTAAACCTCTATAAAAGATGGCTTTTAAGGAGCAGTTTGGCTGATGGAACCTAGTGGACTCGGAGAGAAGGAACTTAAAGTCTGACTAAAGATATGCAATGAAAGTGAGAAAAACATAGGGCAGAAACTAAAGAAATTTTGAGATATTAAAAAATCATGTATTTTCCTTCATTACTGCCTACATGACAGTATCCAAAACCCTTCACACAAGGCCCTCCACAAGCTGTGCTAACCTGATTTTCAGGTCTTATTTCCCAGAACCCTCCCCTATGTTTTCTGTCCTCTTTCACACCGGGTGCTTTTTCCCAGCGACATGGTATACGCTCATGTTTGAGTGCCCCTGCTGTCTTTCCACCTCTGCCCCCATGTCATCTGCTTCACAAAATGCCACTCTCTCTTTTTTTTTTAATTAATTAATTTATTTTTTTTATTAGTTGGAGGCTAATTACTTTACATCATTACAGTAGTTTTTGTCATACATTGAAATGAATTGGCCATGGATTTACATGTATTCCCCATCCCAGTCCCCCCTCCCACCTCCCTCTCCACCCAATCCCTCTGGGTCTTCCCAGTGCACCAGGCCCGAGCACTTGTCTCATGCACCCAGCCTGGGCTGGTTATCTGTTTCACCCTAGATAATATACATGTTTCAATGCTGTTCTCTTGAAACATCCCACCCTCCTCTTTTTATGAGAACTCTGCAACTCTCCTCTCTCCCACCTCCACTCAGCACACCCAACAAGCAGAAGGGACTGCCTTTTCCCCACGCTCCTCTAGTTCTTTCAGTATCTTCTTACCACACTGACACTTGCCAAGGGTCAAAATGCAGAGCCTCTTTCAAGGTCTTGTCTCCAAATCTAGTCACATAAAGTACTGGACGTTAGGGCTTCAATATAATGGGTTCTGGGCAAACACAATTCAGCGCATAACAGTATCCACTCATCTATCCTTACAAGCAACAGCTCCACCTCTGCACTATTTTTACGATGAGTTTCTTCAAAAACACAGCGTTTCTGTGCCTAACTCTACTCCTGGCTCCCACAGTCTAGACCTCAAGTCTACTTATGTTGGAAAGGGACTTTATTCCTTAATGAGTGAATAAAGACAATGGTTCCAAATTCCAGGGTTTCTTACAGAGTTTAAATTGTCAAAAGCTAAGCCCTCGTGTCAATATAAGGAAACAGAAAAACAACCCCCTTTTTTTAGCACTGAGAAAACAGGAAACATATTTGGGGGGGTGGTTGCAGTTATTAAAAGCTTGAGAAAGGAATCTAAAAGTACATACATTAGCCATTTCAAGTGGACAGACACTGGCCTAGTTAAGAAGGATGACTGGTGCTTGCTACCTAGTATATCAGCCTACTTTCTGACCCTGGGACCTATGAAACACCCATTGACAAGAAGGGATTCTTTCATGTGGGGGAGGGGGGGGGGAGTGTAACTTTTCAAAGGATCCTAATTCCAGGCCAAAATGAGGAGCATTGACTAAAGCCTCTTTAGAATTCTGCAAACTTCCCTGTTTGGGTAAGCAGGGGGACTCTCAGGCGGTATGAAGACACTATGTTTAGAGGGCTCGCCTATTGCCATCTCCTCTCTCATAAATCGCTCTCACACTGTGCCCAGAAAAAGCAATTACCTGTGATCCAATGCACTGCATTTGAGCTCCAAGTGGAAAACCGCAGTGGATGAAACTAACCATGACCTCAATTTGGAGCTGGCCTGATGTTGGGCCTGCTTACTTCAGAGGGGAGATCACTATCCCCTGTGCTCTTTTCACTCAAGTGTTGTAAAGTGGGGAAACAATACAGAGGTCCAAGACATGGTAACTCCTCTCCAATCCAGAATTCTTTTCCTTCCTTTTCTGCATGGGAAAATTTGAAATCATCCCTGTGGGAAGGATTGTTTTGGGGGTGAGGGACTGTTAATGCTACCTTTACCAAGCCACTATATTCTTCTCTCCCCCTTTCACTTCCTCAGGCTTTTAATAGATTACATCAGGCTTTTAACAGTTTACATCAGTATGCTGATGCAATTTATGTGTGTAAATAAATGGAAATAGCTAGTAAATATTCAGAAAGCAGCAGAACCATCTTTTAACACATGTTATACTGGTGAGTATTTTTTCATAATTTCCCAGATCTACTGCCAAAGTGCATTTCCTAGAGATCTTTGTAGCAATGTATGCATCCAAATATGGTATGAGGCATCACCTCACTGGAGTCAGAATGGCCATCACCAAAAAGTCTACAAACAACAAATGCTGGAGAGGGCATGGAGAAAAGGGAGCCCGCCTACACTGTTGATGGGAATGTAAATTGGTACTGTCACTATGGAAAACAGAATGGAGGTTCCTTACAAAACACTAAAAACAGTTACCATATGATCCTGCAATCTCACTCCAAGGCCTACATCCAGATATCTATTTAGAAAAGATACATGCATGCCAATATTCATAGCAGCACAATTTACAGTAGCCAAGACATGGAAGTTAAATGTCCATCAACAGATGAATGGATAAAGAAATGTGATAGATGTATACAATAGGGTATTACTCTGCCATAAAAAAAAAAGTGAAATATTGCCATTTGCAAGAACATGGATGGACTGAGAGATTGTTATACTAAGTCAGACAGAAAGACAAGTATATGAAATCATTTATATGTGGAATCTAAAAAATGATACAAATGAACTTATTTACAAAACAGAAAGAGACTTACACACATAGAAAATAAACTTATAGTTACCAAAAGAGAAGAGGGGATGGAGGGACAAATTAGGAGTCTGGGATTAACAGATACACACTACTACATATAAAATAGATAAACAACAAGGATCTACTGTATAGCACAGGAAACTATAATCAATACCCTCTAATAACTTATAATGGAAAAAAATCTGAAAAAGAAAGAATACATATATACATGTGTAACTGAATCACTGTGCTATATACCTGAAACCAACATACCACTGTAAATCAAGTATACTTCCAATTTAAAAAAATTAGTCTATGCTGATGGCTATTAGAGCATGCAAAATACAAAGTTGTGTTAGAAGACTATCAGCACAAAGTTACAGGCAGTTATGGGAAAGTAAGCATTTTTTTAAGGAGCCTTTAAAAAGGCTTTGCCTCATTTGTTTCATCCTCTCTCTCATCACCCAGAATCCTTCCTGCTCTTTCTCTAATAGCTGGGCAGTGGAAAGATGGAAGGATTAGGCTACGCAAGCAGAGTCTGCAGAGAGCAGAAACAGATTTACTAACTTTGATGGCGGCTTCTAGTGAGTCCTTACCATACACATGGCTGGGCTGCCATAAAGCCAGCTGAGCTGATCACCTTAAATAGATTAAAAGATGACATCGACAGATTTTGAGCAGAAATGATTTCATTCTTTCCTCTCTCCAGTTACATGGTTAGCTGGTTCACGCACTGATTTGTTATAGCACACGGGGCTGGCTCACATCCCTGCAAGCCTTCTGAAGTCTTGATAGCATCGGAAACTGTCTCCTGAGAATGTGCAAGAGGGAGGTCTGAGCTCCTCTCCTTCAAGGACACTCTCTTCAATCCATTATCTCCTACTCAGGTGCAATCGTCTAGTCTATCAAAATACAGCGATTGAATAAAACTTTTATTTCAGATAATGAATGCACTGATTTAATAAAGGGTTTGTACTACATGGTATTATAGTTCCCTAAATGAACACTGAAATGCTAAGATGGAAAAATTTACCATTGGTCCAAGTTAAATCATAGCCACTTCTGTTAAACTGCATACCCTAATAAGACACCAATCCATTTGATACTTTTTAAAAAATGTGTTATCTTATATAAGTGCCTAACATTTTCCAGCTGTTTTAAAGCCAACTGTTTTTCCTATCATAAGTACATCTGGCATCAGGCAAACAGATTATAGCCATGGACAACTGACTAATTTATGATGTTTTTATATTTTCATATTTTTGGCAGACTAATCCAGGTTGATATATTAGCCTAGCTTTCTTAGATGAATCTTAAAATCTTGTGTTCTTAACAACCCTTTTACCTTTTTCTCTCCCGAACCCTAGAATATTTTTGTCATGTCCTAAAATTTAATTAAAAAACAGAGACAGGGAGAATGAATTGAACCCTTATGTTCTGTTCTCTAGT